AGTCAGTACTAAAAAGTACGCTTTATTTGGTTCGTCAGGGAAAAGCCTTTTGGCATAAAAACCCTGGTTGAAATGTTGACGAAGAATCCGTACAAATCAGGATAATTTTGGCCACGTGCAGGACCGCCTTTGTCCCTTGTTGCTGGCCGAACTTAAATGATGTAGTATTGCGCAATACAAATAATTCTCCTCGAAGGAGTTCTCGCAAGTCTCAGCTTTCAAAGCTAGATGAATCTCGAGCGATGAGTCAAGCGTGATGAATCAAGAGTGATGCTAGGCGCAAGAACGCTAGTAGTTTCCGGAATAACATGTCGAAGTCAGAACGTCACTTATGTTTCAATGTTCGTTGATGAAACGTTTTCGTATACGATTTACGATTGAATTGTATGAGTAAGAAAAATATTGAAATAAGTAATTAAAAATGTCGCTYTGCTTTCGTACCATTTCAAATAAACTTACATCGTTTGTAAATACGAGAAAACAAGTTACGACCATCGATTGTCGGTTGCCAAAAAACATAAAATCCTCTTCATTTTTGAATGAGTTTATGGGACCTCAGACTTCGGTGGATACAAAAACAAAATTAACAGATAGTGATTTCGATATTTACGCAGATGTCTATTCATTCTATCAAAAATCGGAAAAAGAATTGATTAAGAGTTATAAAAAAAATAAAAATGAAATTCTATATATAGCACAGCAGAGCTGTACTAATCACAGTAGGTTCTTAAATACGGAACCAGTTTTAAATAATTTGTTGCTATATAACGTTAGTATAGATTGTAAAAAGACGGAAAATGAATCTTCACCAAGAGATATCTTCTATATCGTAAATAATAATAGATTGTTTTCTAATAAACAAATGTTGAGTACTACTGTGGATAATCATTTGAAGCAAAATACTATTTTACTCACAAATGGTGGAATCATTAACGGACAAGAAGTTAATGATAAACAATCGGTTCAAAACGGGGAGGGTAGACCATCCAAAGAACAATTAGAACATGTATTTACTTGTCTCAGAAATGACTTACCAAATTTCTTCGTTAAAACATTAGATTACACAATATATTCGCAAAATTTAATATTCATTATTAATATTAAAGGATTAGAAACGAAGGGTATTTATAATTACATGAAACAAATAACTATTATAAGAACAATTGGTCATATAAAATTTGCATACATAAAATTAGATGTATTAAAAATAACTATTAATCCGGAAGATGATACAATAAAAGTACGTTGGCGAATAAGCGGTATTACAAGACTTAGAGCACTTTTTACATTATGGAAATTAAAATTTTGGAGAATAAAGGAAGCTTTAAATGATGCAGAAGTATGGTACGATGGATTTTCTACATATCATGTAGGTGCCGATGGTAAGATATATAAGCATGTAATGGACAAATTGATGCCTGATCAAAGTAAACTTTATGAAAAAGAAAAACCAGAAGTTGCTACAAAACTTGCACTGTTCATAGGATTAAAAAATCTGCAAACGCAAAATAGTTGAAATGAATTTATTACAATATTGAAACCATGTGCTCATTGTAAAATGACGAGATAACTAAAAGGTTACACAAGTAGCGAAATAAACACAATTTATGTAGATTAATACAATCTTATCAACGCTTGTTAAGCGCTGTAATTTTTCACAGCGCATCCTTGTAATAATGAAATAGATTGCATAGATTTTTGAAATTTCGTTTAATTTTAAATAATATGTAAATAATTTGGACTTAACAAAAAAATATAAATATTTATATTTTTATATATATATTATATATATATATAATATATATATAATATATCTATCAAAAATATCTTTACTTTTATTTACAAAAATTTATTAACGCATTGAATGCCACAGGGATCATAAGTGACCAGTGGAACTAAGATTATTAGAAATATAATTCGATTAAATTTCAATGATTTGAAGAAATTAATTCAATATAAAATATATCAAAATAGTTTTATTTGTATATGTGACATGTATGCTTAAATATTATGCATGCGTATAGTGGATGTTTTGTATTAAACCATTTTAAACAGAGGAAAGGTAAATCAATAGATTCCACAATATGTCACAACTATTTTGGTAGAGTAATCATTAGATTAACAGTATTTTCTATGCTATTGTTATATATATTTGGCTAAAATACTTGAGAATAAAAATTAAGGATAATGTTATTTACATCTTTTATATAGTTCCTTTGATAAAGAGTGAATAAGTTTTTGCTTTAACACGTAAAAATACGGAAATAAGAATAGGTAACAAAATGATATTCATTAATTGTAATAATTAAATCTGATTCTCTTACATTTACCCTGATACCTGATACCTGATACCTGATACTGGTGGGGATGTTTGAAGGGTATTATAAAAAATAAAAAAAAAGAGAACAAAAACAGAAAGAAAAAAAAAAAAAGAAACACTTTAAGATTTCTGGTAGAAAATCTATTTACTGTGTCATGGTAAAATAAAAACTGTGAGAAAGAGAGAACGA